AGCTTTATTCTTTTCAATCTTAAAACACTGGGAAACGTTCCCAAAGTACATTTTCAAAAGGAAAATCTCCACCAAAAGCTCAAATTTGTGCTAATCTAGTTAAGAAATATAATTCTTGGCATCTGTAGAACAAGGGCCTCTTGTTTTGCTTCTCCAGGCAGATATAACCGTCCCCCTGAACATGTCTTTATTTCTACCCTGCATTTCACTGACTTTATTCCCTGAGTACTGGGCACTGAGTTGTGTGTAAGCTGATACACATACCAGCCTGCTCACATCTGCACTGAGGGGCAAGGTCTCTCACAGGCTCTGGCATTAACAGCTGCTGCTAAAGTGGTTTATTTGTGTGAGTATTCATAGGCCTTTCTTGGCACGTTAGCATTAGCATTCCTGTGCTCCAAAGAATCCTAGTGATAAGACAATTTCACCGGCCTGTGATCTACTGCATTAGCAACTTCGTTCGCTTCACCTGAGAGCAAAGCTCAGCTGTTGGAAGGAGGTTGTATAGTACCTGTCAGGTCCTAGGGCCTGTGTCTGTCCAGCCTTATCTTGGCCTCCCAGCTCCTCACTCATATCCCATTGCTGTCAGCCAGGGGTCCTCAAACTACGGCCCTCGGGCCACATGCAAATACAAATATTGTATTTGTTCACGTTTTGTTTTTTTACTTCAAAATAAGATATGTGCAGTGTGCATAGGAATTTGTTCATAGTTTTTTTTTAAAACTATAGTCCGGCCCTCCAACAGTCTGAGGGACAGTGAACTGGCCCCCTGGCCCTCCGGTCCAGTTTAAGAACCCATTGTGGCCCTCGAGTCAAAAAGTTTGCCCACCCCTGGTCTAGACACTGTTTAGAGATTGTGAGCCTTTGGTCACAATTCCTTCGTGTTTATATGAACTATTTGCTTTTTGCTTCTCCTATCATTTAAGAAGTTTCCAGATGACGTATGGGGGGCGGGGGGGACAGAAAAATTGAGTGTGTTAAAGTTCTGTTGGGGTTTTTTTTATTTGTGTGTGTGTGTGTGTGCTAAATAATGATATTATACAGTTTTCAGGGAATTTTATACATTTCCCTTGGAACTACACTTTAAAAACTTTAACAGCTACCCACTCTTTTTCTCAAAAACATCTAGAATTGTAGTAAAAAGAATATGAACAAATGGGCTAAGACATCCTGTTATTTCATTGTTGCTGGCAAGTGTTAGTCCATGTCCAGGGTGCAAAAACATTAGTTGCTGATAATACTGAATTCCATGGACCCTTCACTGTGCCTGTGCTCACAATTAGTTGGAAACACCTGAGTTGTACTTCCCAATGCTGCCAACTGTGGTTTCTCAACAAGGTGCAGGTAAAGTGCTTAGAGGCATAATCCTCTAATGCAGCGGTTCTCAACCTGTGGGTCGAGACCCCTTTGGGGGTCGAACGACCCTTTCACAGGGGTCGCCTAAGACCATCGGAAAACACATATATAATTACATATTGTTTTTGTGATTAATCACTATGCTTTATGTTCAATTTGTAACAATGAAAATACATCCTGCATATCAGATATTTACATTATGATTCATAACAGTAGCAAAATTACAATTATGAAGTAGCAACGAAAATAATTTTATGGTTGGGGGTCACCACAACATGAGGAACTGTATTAAAGGGTCACGGCATTAGGAAGGTTGAGAACCACTGCTCTAATGGAAGACGTGTACCCCTCTAGTTGCAAGTTGTCCTTGGCTAAGGACTCAGAGCAGATAAAGAAGACTTGGGTCTGCAGTTCATTGTAGGAAAGCTCTGAGAAGAATTGTCTGATTATGTTCTACTCTCAAAATGAGGGCTTTGACCTGCCATCACAGGGACAAAGATGTGTCACCTAAAAGTTAAATTAGCAAAAGTCTACGCGGAATGGAGAAATTGGCTGTCTATGGGGGCAACCCAAGAAATCATATAAGTAAGACTGAGAGGTTTGGAAAACATCCAATGCTCTAATTCAGGTGATATGAATATAACCTCAAGGACACAGGGATAAAATATTATAATTGAGAAAATGGACACATAAATTGGCCTTTCTAAACACTACATGTCTGAAGAGTAAGTCAACAACAAAAGAGGATGCTCAGCATGGGGTCATTGTTTTGGCACATTTGTCCAGCTCTGCCCAGGGGGTAGAGATTGAAGCTCATGAACAGGAAAGCTCCAGTCACCAGAGATGGTGATTTGGCTGTAGTGCAGGACTGTTATTTTACTTAGGTTTCACATGGCCTAGATGAAATATGCCTCAGGATCTTTCTTTGCTCCCCTCTGATCTTGTGCCCATGAGTGAAAACTCTGGTTAGTAATCTGGTTCCTGATATCCTAATAATGTAAAAGGGTTACCCTAGGTGTGACCTGGGAGATACCCTTATGTGGATGAGTATATTGGCCTGACTGATTATGCACCAGCCTTTTTGAAATCCTTTGGTAAAAGTTAGCATCAGTGGATCCAAGAATTCTGTGTGGTTGATCATGCACACACCCAGAATTCCAAAGCTAACGTGAGGGGAGTAGCCAGCATCTCAGGGAGGTCTCATAGTTCATCATACTAGTAATGGCCTAGTCCAGTGGTCAGCAAACTTCGGCCCCTTGAGTGTGGCTCTTCCACAAAATACCAGGTGTGGGCGGGCACGTACAGTGCGATTGAAACTTCATGGCCACACTCAAGGGGCCAAAGAGCCGCATGTGGCTCGAGAGCCGAATTTTGCCAACCATGGGCCTAGTCTAATCAGGCCCAATTTATCACTAGATAAAGGCAAAGCCTAGTATCGGAGAAGTAGGTTGCTGGCCATGGTCTTGATAGTTATAGAGTTTTGGAAGCTCTAAGACGTTAGGACAGAGACCCAGTAAGTGAAACTGCTATATAGGCATGATTTGTCACCAAGGAACAGTGTCAGAGCATTCAGTATGGCTGACTTCATGGTGGAATGTCAGATTATGTTGTTGAATATCTATTGTCTCTGTTCAGAAGTCAGATTGACCCTTGAGTCAGAAAAATGGGTGAAACTACAAGAATAGATTAAGCATTTAGCAGGTCTATTTTTGTTTCTAGGGACTGGGTGGAAAAAAAACTTAGGCACAAGAGACTTAACTGGCTCACTTTAAAAAATTTAGGGCTAGAACTGGCCTAAGGTAGTTTAATGGATGGGGCTCAAATGATGTCACCAGGAACTGGTTTTCCTTAACTTGTCTCTCAGATAGGACCATATTGCCTTGAATGTCAAACAAATTCTGAGGTCACAAGATGGTAGCAGCTACTCCATTTTGCATTCTCAATACCTTGAATCCTTCAGAAAATATAATCTGTTTCATAGAGCCCTTAATGGCTCCTTAATTATAATTGAATAGCTTGCTCATCCCTGAACCCATCATTTGGACCAGGAAAATGTAAATCTCTGACCAATGTCTGAGTCATTTGACCATCCTTGAAGTCAAGGGCAGAATGTGTGCATTAGAAGTACCTGAATGATGGCTGTAGAAGAAATGATGGAATCTGCTAAGAAGTGTGTATCAACTCACCTGTCCAATCAACCATCTGTGAAAATGAATGGCACTGGGGTGTTGGGCTCACACTGGGCTATTGCTGTCCATGCGTGATGCCAGCAAGAGGGAAGATGCCACCCCCTCCTCCTTTCCTACCACATTATGTTCTCAGTGACAACTATAACATGTTTTTCATTAGTCATTCAATTTGACAAATGTTTATTGAACACCTACCATAAACCCAGAATTGTGGGAGGTATTAGAGGGGATAATTCTCTGAGGAAAGATATAGCACTTTTCACGTTAACAGTTCGAGAAAAGCAACCACTTTTTTTAAAAAATATATGTTATTGATTTTTTAGAGAGGAAGGGAGAGGGAGAGGGATAGAGAGTTAGAAACATTGATGAGAGAGAAACATCGATTCAGCTGCCTCTTGCACACTCCTTACTGGAGATGTGCCCCCAACCAAGGTATATACCCTTGACCAGAATCGAACCTGGGACCCTTCAGTCCACTGAGCCAAACCAGTTAGGGCAACTTTTTATTTCTAATATAACATGAAGTCAGCTTCCCAAAAACATTGTGCACTGTCCAAGTTTTGCTTTATATTTACCCTAAGGGGTAGAATGGTCAGAATGGTTGATGGTAGTGAAGACATACCATTCACTTTAAAGAAAATAACTTGTATTTTTCAAATATTATTCCCAAATTAGGTAATTAAATGCTGATAAAATTATTATGTGTACGATATTGATGCTCTGTGACCAAGTAAATCAAGAAGATAATTATTTTAGGATCAAATTTTCTTTATATTTTAGTCTTCTGTTCATTCATTTTTTTTCTTCTGAATTTCATTAACTGAAACTTCAGTTTTTAAGATACAGTTGGAAAGCAATTTCTTCAGCATCAATCTGATGTTACTCTTCTCATCAATGACTCCTGATCACCCTAATGATCAATTTGAAACCCCTTTCATCATTGCACCCCTATTTACCTCTCCAGTCCCTTCTCTCACCTCCCAATTTTTCCACATGTACCACACTCCAGTCATACTGAACGATTTACAGTTACCCAAATGCACAACCTCTCTCACCCCTGTGCCTCCATATGTGCTTTTCCTTCTGTTCACTCTTTTTCTTGCCACCACCCAGCCATTTCTTATTCATCCACTAGATCTCAACTAAGACATCACCTCCTTCATGAAGTCTCCAGACACCACCTGCAAGACTGGGTTGGGTGCTCCTTCTTTGCTTGATTAGTACCCTGCACTTTGCCTATCATGACTCTCATCAGTCTATGCTATGAATTGCCTGTTGCCCATAAGTCTCCCTATAAGGACAAAAGTTCCCAAATTCAATGAAAGCAGGGTGGAGGCCTTTGTTTTAATGCCTTTTAATGCCTGCACTTTGAGAGCTTAGCTCAAGAAATATTTCTTGGATGAATGAATAAAGAATGAGCCCCTTGCTATATGTTGTTTTCTTGCATTTCCTCAGAATTACAACCGGCCCCCTGTGATGGCACTAGCCATCCCCATTGCAGTGAAATTCCTCCACAGAAGCAACAAAGAACTGTGCAGGAATATGTCCAACTACTTGTCCCTGGCTGCAATCACCAAGGCGGATCTCCTGGCTGATCACACAGAAGTCATAGTGAAGAGCATACTCCAAGGTATGGTGTGAAGGCTGAGCTTGGGGACATGTGTTAGGAGTCATTTAAAAGTGTTTTTAGGGTGTGGGAAGTGAGACCTAGAGTACTAAGAGGTACCTTAGAGTCTCTGCTTTACCACTAGTTGACCTGTGAACACGGGTAAGGTTCCTTGGGCTGGCTGCGTCTGTGTCTCTTCACTGGGCAGATGAATTATTTGGGCTCATTAGATACATTATAAGCTTCCAACTCTACTTCTCTCAGTTGGGAGAACTGTTTTCTATGCTTCTGCTCACCTTGTTCATCTACCGACTATGGTAAGCCTGTATCTGTCTGTACTGCTCTCGGTGGCAGATGAAAAACCTCTTCTTCCTTTGGTTTCCAAAGGCAAGAAATGTTACATCAATTACACCAGAAAATGTGTAAAGACTTCTTAAATGTGAACATTGTTGGGGGTTGATTTGTGTTAAACGCTATCATAAAAACTCAAATCAGGACACCTCTGTTAACTGTTTTACATTTGAATGAAAGAGATCAAGTTTAGTCCAGTCAAAATATTTTCTTTGTCTTATGTTTTTTCCTTTGCTTTCAGATCTATCAGAAACCATGTTTGTTTGTTTTTAATTTGGGATAAGAGGAGAGTATATGGTATTATTTGATATGCACCAAATTGTCTCCAGTGCCCATTAATAAAACTGTATGAGGTCCATGAGTATCTTGGCCTACACGTCCCTTCTACATGTTCAAGTTGAATGTCAACCCCCTGTAAAATGCTTCCAGAAAAAGTATTTTGTAGAGTCCCCAAGGGAGTCCTATGTGTGCTCTCTTTCTGCGGTGCCCAGCCAGTCCACGTGCCTCTGCTGCTGCCCTCACCATGCTTCCTGACAGGGCCTGCTGTGGTGGTGTCCACCTCCACCTCCCTGAGCCCAGCAAACTCCGTGGCTGCTGCCATCAAGGTCCCAGGAACAGACTCCATTCCACACTGCCCTGCCTGTCTGTCCTTTTGCACTGCTCCTCTTGAAGGTCAGGAGGCACCAGTCCTCGGTCCACTAATTCCATGTGGCAGGATCGGGGAGAACACCCGTCTTTCTCCTTGGTGTCACATTTTGGTAGAAAGGCCCCAGAGCAAGGTTGCTTGGCTCTCAGTGCCAAACTGTGGGACCAAGTCAATAGACGGGTCAACAGACTGTTCTGTTTTGTCTAAAACTGTCTCTTCTCTGGGCTCCACTATTGACCCAAGAGTTGGGCTAGCAAAAAAGTAGTTCTCCAGTTCTCAAAATGCCTATCACCCCCCAAGGACTGAGGTTCTGTTGATTGTACCAAACTTTCCTAAGAAGAGTTTTTAGAACCCCCACCCTCACCCCGCAGACATTGACCAGCTACCCCAATGGTCTGCCAGATGTCCAGATATGTCTGAACTCCAGCCACGACAGTGGGAGTTTACCACCCTCCCTGTGCCCCTCTAAAGATTTGTCATTGATATTACTAGTCAGTATCATTCTCTTGGCCACAGGATTGAATGCTAATTTCACATTATACGTATTAAATTCGCTAAAAGCCCAGAAGAGCAATTATGTTTTTTTCACCACCTTGGTTATATATTTGGAATAGATTTTATAGGAATTAAAAACACTTATAAACCGCACACATTTTAAGTCCATGATAGTTAGACTTGTAAGTAACTGATATATGGAAAAAAAATTTGAATTGTCTCTTTGTAGCAGCCAAAAGCTTAGGTCATGTATTTGAGTGTTTTTTTCCTTTCTTGAAATGCACTTTCAATGACAAAAAAAAAAAAAATCTTTTGAAATGCAAAATACTTTCTTAATTCACTGCAAGCATTTGAAATAAACAAATGATTCGGTTTATTTGATCTGGCACAACAAAAATTACCATAAAATAAATGATAATTTGACCTGAAAAGTTGGGACTACATATTTCAGGGTTTAGATTTTTTAGGACAGATATGTCTGTAAACTCCACAATCACTCACATGAGCACATCAAACTTTGAGCTTCAAAGCAGAAGTGATCTTGCTGTCTCTGAGTAGTAAGTTGTCTGCTCTGCAAGTTTTTGTTGTATATATACCCTGACAACAGCCTTAGCGACATCAGAAAGATTTCATTTTTCTTTACTTATAGTTTTCTTTCCTTTAGAACTTGCTTTTTGACTTATATTATCTGAATCCTCATTCTCCCATATTTCTACTTCTACAGAAAATGTTGAAGTTTACAGCTGTTTGATTTGACGTTACAAGAGTAGATTTATAGAAGTATAGAATCTTAGTTTGGGACGTTAATTATGATTTAGCTCATTTACCCAGGCAATGCTTGAATGCCCACCAAGTGGTCATCCATTCAGTGAGAATGATAATAATTATAATAACCATAACTACAATGACTAAAATTTATTTCATGCTCTCTTTAAGCCAAACACTATATTAAACACTTTATACTGATTATATCATTTAATCCCCACAATAATTTCATCACAGGAGTCCTATTGCTATCCCATTTTACCAATTAGTAGAACTTTAAGGAACAGAGACCCCAGGTATAAATGCTTTAACGATGATGGTGACAATGGCAAGAATAATGAAGAAGAGAGAGAAGAAGCAGGAGTAAGAGGAGGAGGAGAGGAAAAATTAAAAGAAGGAATAGAAGCAGGAGAAACTCCTCACTGGAACATGTGACTGGGAAGTGCATGAGTATATCAGACTTCCCACGTGGCTTGATTCAAGGCTCAGGGGTGGTCCCAAAAGTTATTACTCAGCTCTGCTTCCTGTGGAGTCGTTTCACTCTCATGCTCCACATTATGGGCCTCTGCAGCATCCAGCTCACATCCTCAGGAATACCGATTAAGGAAAAGAAACTCCATATCTAGTCTCACTGCCTCTGTTTGACCTGACATAGGTCACATACTCATTTGCAGCCTTATGTAAGTGTTAACCTTTATTGCTTTACACTTTCTTCTTAATACATTCAGCCCACTACTTTGGCATGCCAAGGAATTGGATAATGATTCTTTCATTTCAATGTATCTGTAGTTTTTCCAAGGTTCTTGCCATCTGCAAATTTTATGAAAAGAACTACTCTACCTTCATTATAAAACATTCAGAAAGGATATATGCATCCCTATGTTCATAGCAGCACAATTTACCATAGCGAAGATCTGGAAACAGCCTAAGTGTCCATCAGCAGATGAATGGATTAGAAAACTGTGGTACATCTACACAATGGAATACTATGCTGCTGTAAAAAAGAAGGAATTCTTACCATTTGCAACAGCATGGATGGAACTGGAGAGCATTATGCTAGTGAAATAAGCCAGTCAATGAAAGAAAAATACCACATGATCTCACTCATTTATGGATAATAAAGACCATTATAAACTGATGAACAAAAGTAGATACAGAGGCAGAGCAGCATTGAACAGACTGTCAAACTACAGTGGGAAGGCTGGGGAGGGTTGGGGGGCGGGAGGGGGGGGTAAGAGATCAACTGAAGGACTTGTATGCATGCATATAAGCATAACCAAAGGACATAAGACACTGGGGGGTAGGGGAGGCCGGGAAAATGTCAAGGGGTGGGGGAGAAGAAGACATATGTAATACTCTTTGTAATACTTT